CTAGGCACTTTTGTGACCTTGGTTGTGACCACTCATCTTAAAGTGGTCAAGTTTGGACAACACTGGTTTAAACCAAAGCAGGAATGGAACTTGGGAAAATTTTAAGAGCACAGAATACAGAGAGGTGAAAAGAACTGAAGTCATGTCTCTCCCTTAGCATTCACTTCATGAAGCCTCTTTCTCTAGGCACTTTTGTGACCTTGGTTGTGACCACTCATCTTAAAGTGGTCAAGTTTGGACAACACTGGTTTAAACCAATGGATCTGCCTTTATCACAAGCTTAACTTTTATTGTCTGTCCCAAACATTTAACAAATAGGATATTCTTCTTGTTTCTGCTATCCAAACTCCGCCTGCACAGGAAGGGATGGGGAACATTCAGTTGATGAGGATTACTAGGGACGGAGTCTTTTATTTAACTGAAAGAGATATGGGTTTAACCCATCATGGTTGCCTCTGTAATAAATAGATTGGTCTTGGTTTAAAGGCAGTGAAGGGAATTCTAGCTCACATGTTAATAGATTGTTGTGTAGTCAGTGCAGTTGATGAAAACAAAATGGGCATACTGTAGAACATACAAAAAACATGTATAAGAACCTCCCTCCAAATACTTGTGTGGCTTCTAATGCCTTTCAAAATAACCTCTCTTTTGCTAGAAGTTGCAGGGGACAACATGAACTAACCTTGATCCCTGAAAGCTAACAGAGTCAGATCTGATTAGTACTTGGTTGGAAAGTAAAATAACAACAACGCTATTCATATTGTTCAAATTGCACACAAATTGAACCAAGCATGTCTATCTGCAGATCTGGATATCATTTGGAATGTCTTTTCAACGTCTGAACTTTTCCCTATCTTTTTATAGGAAGCTGGAGTTGTCATTTGTGTCAAGAACTACTCCAAGAGAGAGCATCAGCTTTCTGCTTCCAGCCCTAGATGACAGCAAAGGATGGGGCTTATTCTTGAATCCGTAGCACCAGCACACAATGATCATTCATCACATAAGGCTATGTATAACCATAAACATGCTCTTGCCCACATGAAAGGATGAACACTCAAAGAAGCATCTATAGCATTTTCTTCTCCAGGGTTACATTTCACCAAGATTTTACCTCCTGGGTTCTACTAGAAGGAGCACACCTTTGAGGGAAGGGGGAGGGGTCTATGTTCAAATGAATACTTTCCCCTGAAGTGCATGATTTCAGGTCTGTTGTAATAGATTCATATGTGTTATGATAATAGCATAAAGGGGAGCTGTTGTAACTGTTGGTATTTAGACATTTAAATTGTGTGGATTGTGATCTTGGTTTGATTTATCTCCTCCTTCCTTCAGATTAATCAGTATTATCCATCCCTCTAAGAGCCATCCCCCCAGCCTGTCATCTTGCAGATGTGTTAGGGCTACAGCTTCCAGAATTCCCACCCAACATGGGCAACAGCTGGAAATAATGGGAGTTAGACTCACAACATATTTGGAGAACATTAGATTAGTACTAGAGTGCTTTGTAATTGTTTGTGATCTAGGGCTGTGGTGGGGTATTAAACTTATCACTATAAGGTTCTAATGGGAAATTGCTTTTTATAAGCATTTTTTTTAGAAGTAGGTACAATCAGATAATAGTATTCTGGTTGTTTACAGTTCCATAATGATAAAATCAAAATAACCCTTCACAAGGAAGCACATACACAATATCTATCTGAGTCTTCTCCATTACTCTAATAATATAAAGATAAAAAGGTGATATGACTTCATTACTTTAATGTTTCCCACAGCTAGTCTAGATTCACATGACATAGCATATCCGGTCTGTTGCTCTCCCTAGGTAAATTACACCCCAGTGAAGGAGTGCCAGACTCTCAGCAAAGAAGCAAAGCTATCCAAATGAGGTTGGGAATATCATATCTTCCTTTGCAGGGCCTTTTTCTTTTAGAGTGAAAGCTTTAAAGAAAAATCCCCGGTGTCATGACTGGGGTTAGAGCACCACATACAAATGATCATCTCCCCACCTTCTCCTTCCCTGCCTTACCCTCGCAGGTGCAGTAGAGAAGCCTGTTTTGTGCAGGGCTACTCTAGGCTCTTGTCTCTGGCTACAGAAGATGGGCAGCTATGTCAACCCTCATTTCCATATTTGGGTGACATAGCTGACTTGGGGTCATTAGTTTACTCAAAAACAAATCCAGGTCTGACTTGGGTTTCAACTAATCCTCTCTAAATGCAGTGGTTACTGTTTTATTTTTAGTTCACAACATATGTTGATCTCCCCTTCCTTTCAGATGAGCATGCTATGCAAACAAGACCTATGAAATAATTGGTTATTTGAGGATGCTAAATTTATGACTGGATTCAAACATGTTAAACCATGGTTTGTTAAATCATGGATTATTGCATAAACCACAGTGGCTGGGTTACCCAAACCCAAACCAAGCAAATCACATTACTGCTTAGTGTACTGCATATATTAAGTCAATAATTCTTTCAAATTATACATTCCTTGGAAGAGTTGCCCATAAACACATACAGCTCTTGATATGTTTGGATTTTAGGACCAAACTGAATGCGACAATGTCTTTAAATCTAGATCTGCTCAATCATTTAGGGAAAAAAAATGTATCAGTTGTTAACAAGAGAAAGGGCATTGCAATAGTGAGTGTTAAATCTTGTCTGTGACTTACCTCCCTTTGTTCTGTCTCTTTAGCCTTTTTATCCCCAGCTGACCTCTGATAGTGCTGATGCCCTTGGATGCTAGGAAGGTATGTGGGAGGATGCTATGAAGAGCTGACTGGACAGCACTGAGAGTGTTGACATCATCCCATGGTTTACGTGGGATCTAGATAAGTGACAAAGCACAATATTTTGACCCAAAGTATATTATCTGCTTCAGGCTTGATCCTAAGACTTAAAAGGAGAGTGTGAGATGTGCTGAATGCAGGCATTCCGTATAATACAATTATGTTACATAGGCCCAGATTTTAGAAAGTGTCATATTGAGTTAGATCATTTAATAGTCTTACCTGCCCTGATTGGCAGTTTTTCAGGATTCAAACCAAATTTTCCCAGTTCCATAAATAGTGCCAAAGATTGAATCTGTGACCTGCTGCAAGAAAAGCATGTGTTCTTCTACCAGCAAGCAGCAGGCCTTCCAGTACAAAGTGCCAGTGACTTTATTGGGCAAACTAAGCCCATACTTAACTTTCTTCTATAAACCAGGGATGAATAATGATTCAGCTGAAGTCCTCGTCAATTGTTGCAGAGGCTGTTCCCCTCCACCCCCCATCCCCGTCTTTTAGGCTTTACATGAGATTTTAGATGCAATGCAAAATGCTTGTAACTGTCATGGAGCATGTTGACTTCACTGAATGGGATTTTTGTCCCTATCGCCTTATATTGTGACCTGTTATACTGCTATAGCAGCTTAAAAGAGTTTCCATTGTAAAATATAAGGACAACTAGCATCCTTTTGGTAAAACTGGTACCTATGGTAATCACACCTACTCTGACTTACCCACAATACCAAGCCATAATGTGGTTTAGTTTGGTTTTGGCATGATGTGACATACAAAACTATTATGGCTTAGTGTTAGGTGGGAATGGGCCAGGTCATAATGGTTCGTTCAACAAATTGTAGTATGGGCTGGTGGCGATCAATCCAGCCAGTTAAACCTGAGGTGCTTAGTTTTAGATCCAAACAGATCTGGGTGGGTTTGGAACTAAACTACCCCCCACCCCCGTGCTGTGCAAACTATTTACTTGAGGTTAAACTGTCCCTTCTGATATGCATGATTGAGATGGGTCTTTGAGGGGCCCTCTATGGTGATTTTGGGTTTATTCTCTGTGGTTGCATGATGAGTGAAAAAAAAGGGGGGAAGGGTGAGTGAGGTGCAGACACCTGACCCTGTCCATAATGGTTCTAACCCCAATTTTAAGAAGAATTTTTTTTAAAAAAAGCCAGACAGTGGAAAGTAAGTGCCAACTTTTTTTGCAGTGGCTTGAAAGGCTGGGGGGGCGGGGGGGAGATTTGTAGATGACAGAGGAAATCATTCAACACTGTGTGATGCACACATGTAGGTTAACAGGGTGCTGAGTCAGGCTGGAATTGAAATCAGAAAAAAGAGGGATAGTTAAAGGCGAAAGTATTGGTAGCAACTCCAGCCTGCAACATACAACATAAATATGAAAGTGCAATAATTCCCCCACTCCAGAAATGAGGGTACAATCATCTAAAGTTAAACATGTTTATATTATGTTGATTTCAGCTGTAAAATTTCCCAGGTAAAGTGTGAGTTTTGCAGCCTCATTCTGAGTATGTTTATTCAAGAAGTTCTACTAAGTTCAATGGGACTGATTTCAAAATTCCATTTGTAAGCAATTACTTTATTCTAAGCAACTTTTTTACATTCCAGGACTTGCAACTTCAAGTGTTTTTGTAGTGCTGAACCAATAGATATATAGTTGAACTGGCAACAATTTCTATTTACATGCATATCTACATACCCATCACATTATTCCTTTTTAGGTTAAACAACATAATGCAGAGCATAGAAAGTCTAAGAAATAAAAGGCATAAAAAAAAGTCTCACCTCTCTTTTTAAGGGTCTCATCAATTCCATCAATCTACAACTTTCTCACTCTTCCTCTCAAGCCATTCACTCTGGGTTGACTAAATCACTTCAAAATGCTTCTTTTGTACTGGTTACTCATTTTCTATTCAATCTATATTCATTCTTGACCCTATCTCTTCTTGTTTTAACAAACACTCTTAAGGACCTCATTCCCACTGCAGTCAGCTTTTAGGTTTCTACTGACATGCCCAACTCCCACATAATAAATCAGCAGAAGCACATTCTTACACACAGCCATTTTTGTTTCTTTCAAGAAACATTAATTCTTCACAACAGATCACATACTACTCACTACCTTTCCGCTAATATTTGCATGTATTTTTTTTCATTTCCCAAACTATAGTAAACATTCTACCAAGGTACACGCATCCTTCTATTTGCTCTATATTCCCTGTCATCTAAACTCTGTATAGCTGGATTAGATTAGATTAGATTAGATTAGATTAGATTAGATAACCATATCATTCCAACAGGTCATTGTTTAACCAGAAAAATGTTTGGGAAACATGTTTGCTGAAGCAATGCAGAGACTATATTTGGAAAATGCATACACATAGAAACTTCTCCCCCAAAGTAAGGATCTGAATATTTAATTGTCAAATGTATATTCATTTAACATTATTTCTAAACAAATGAAAACAATGTGGCTTTATTCCCATGAAATGCTTACCTGAGTCTAGGTACAGGTAATATGTTATTGGTACACAAAAACAGGGTCAATTCCCATAGTCATCTAGCCCCAAGAGGATTAGTATAGGCCCAAACTGCTGAAGTGTGGCATAAACCAACTCCACATTACGGGAACATTAAAATCCAGTAACTTACCTTGCTTTGCTTACCTAGTTGTCAAAGACTGCTGGTGAGGTAGAGCTGAAATGCAAGCCCCTCTGTTACAAAACTCTCTCTCAAGGTGTAGTAAATAGAACGCACCTCCCAGACTCTGATTGGCTGCAGAACGGAAACCATGCCTACTGCTGTCTACCTGGCCAATGAAAAATGAGGTCATTAAGCCTTGTCAGTATTCTCCTGACACATGGACTCATGGAATACCAGCCCCTTCCTGGATAAAGCCAGTGGGGACTCTATAATCTCCAAAGGTCAACTTTTGACCCAGCTACTGGGATTATATGGTATCAGAACCACCAGTAAGGAACTATGACTGGGTCCATAGCTTGTTGTGGAATGAGCATGTTGTGCAAACAGGGCCAAAGAGTTACTTTTTTTAAAAAAATGCTGCTTTGTTATTTGCAGCCTTTGTAAATATTCAAAATTAATTCAGTATGGTGAAATTTGATCCACTGCACAACCAATTGCACATTTGAGTTTCCTGGACTAGCATGTTATAAGTAAGTTCATAAAAGACAAGATTGTTTCAAATTATGAATAGTATTGGATGATAAGATCACGCGTTGTTACACATACTCTATCTCTGAGAGCTGCTTGAGTCCTTAGTGGAAGCACCACAAGCAGAACACATAAATTATTATTATCTGTTAAAGGCCAAAGCACAGTTACCTTGCCAAAATTAGGGCTGTGATACTCCACATATACTCATGTGTGAGCTCCATTGATTTTAATAGGACCGCAGTCAATTCAAGCCAGAATATGAAGTGCTTAGACTATGAAGGATATTATTAGCTCTTAGACCAGTGTTTCAAAATGACAACGCTACAGTGCATTGCCAATATATCACAATGGTCTTGTGTAAGCTGGTCGTACAAGGTCAAAGCCATCTGCAGAACTGAGTGTCTATTCATTTTTTTGCATTAGCATTCTAAGCCCTGAAAAAAAGTCTTTCACAAGCAAGCACAGAATTTGGGGTATAACGTTTGCATTTGTTCAACCAGCCCTGCTGGACTTTGACTGAAACTGCTGCTTGCTTCTACATACGAAAAAGCCCTGCTTCATGAGAACTGGCTCTTAGACGCAAGACGTTTTGAGGGAGGTGCAGTTTCAGAAATTTCACGGTGGACATTCAATGCTTTTTCAAGGGGAGCAAATCCTGTAGGTCAGACTAATCAAATTGATGGGGTTTGTTTGTTTCTGTGTTCTGGGTGAGAGCAGGAATATAAATTGGAGTTAAGACTGGCTAAATCTGCTTTATTTAGTGAATTAATTACTAATAATGACCTCAAAGCCAATCATCTAATTAGTTCTCAGGACAGCCACCAACCTAAAAATCTGAACATGCAATGGTGGTGGCACAAAACACACCCACACATGTGCATGCACACAAACACACAAGCCCCTCCAGAAAAGCTGATCCAGAAAAGAAAAGATGAGTGTAGTTAAAATGCACATTTAAGGTACTGCTACTGTAGCTTATCAACTGAAACAATCATAGTGAAAATGTTGCTTCTAACAAAAGTCATTCCAAAACGACATTAGAAATTCTCCTGTGAAAAAGGAGTGCCTGGAGAAAGCATGGCATCCCGTAGAGAGATGCAAAATGCAATTATGGCAGTATTCATAGAAATCATTGTTTAGAAAAGGTCTTTGATTTAGTACCTCTCTGTGTGTATTTGTGCCAGGGAGAAGGGGAGAGACTGGCAACTGGCAGGGTCATTTTCATCTTGGTCCTTCTCTTCCAACAAAAAGGGAGAAAATGTCAAAATCCACTTTGGTGAATAAGTAATTTAAGCAAGCCATACGAAACCTCACCTTGCGGGTGCTTATGGCTAAGAACAGGATGCAGCGGCCCGGCTGGCTAAAAAGGGGCCTCTGTTACAGGAGGCTCCTTTTTAATGGGTGAAAAACAAACTGCCAGTCGAAAGACAAAGGTTAGGTGGTGCTCTTTTCATATAGGATCTGGTCATGGTGACAGACCAAGTGGAGAAAATGCCCGGGCAGAGGAATAGAACAGCTTAGCCACAAACTGTGCTACAAGCGCACTTGGGCCGCGTGGGGTTTTCTATTTCCAAGACGAAGCGCACGCAACGGGCGCTTCGTTGGCTCTGCCCAGCTCAGACAGCAAAGCTGTTCAATTTCCTATTCTGCAGTGACCTTCAGTTACAGAATGGATGTGCTTATGGTGCTTAAGACAGGGGCCTGGAATTAATCCAGGAAGGCAGATAGGTGGTGTGCACGCGTGCGTGTACGTGTGCCTGCATGTGCATGCTGTTTCTTTGCATCTCCCAGCTGATTCCAAAGCTTAGGACTTAACAGCTGCAGTTGTCTGGCAGAATTAATTTCTTCCGAGGTTTAGCTTCCCTCCCCCTCGTTTCATCCAGGCCTTCTTAAGCCGAAGTGTGAAGGTGCCTGGCAACGCAATTCCCTCCGTGGATTTGGGCAACTCATGACCATTTTTTTTCCGAGGGAGCAGCTTTTGCTGCTGCTGCTGCTGCTGCTGCTGAGACAAAAGTCAGAATGCTCTCTTTCAGAAGAAGAGGCTCGCTTTCCACACTAATGTGCCCAGGGCTTCTCAATAAGCCAGGTCTTGCATTTCAAAATTTGGGTAGCTGATCCAAGCCCCTGAAAAAACAGCTAGTCTCAGAGGTACGGCTGGCTGAGAATTCACAGGCTAAACTTTAAGCAATTAGCATGGTTAATGTTTACTCGGAGATAGTACAGCTGCGTAAGTCTCATTAAAATATTCTCCAGGGAGGGGTGGGGGAAGCAGGCAGAGATTAAGGTACCAACTTTCTTTCCTATAAAAATACCTACCTGATGTAATGGCAGATGCAGATGGTTAAATATCTTGAACGGTGAAGCATAGAAAATAGACATATTTTATCCCATGGCTGGAAAGTGGCAGTGTGGCAGGAGTGACAGCTTGTGGAATAACAGGTACCTAAGAAACTGGGAGAAACTGGACAAGTTCTTTAAAATTCATATTTCTGTTATTAGGACCTTGCAAATTCTACACAGAGCTATACAAGCAAGAGAAGTCACACTAACAGAAAGAGATGCTGCAGGAGGTGCAAACTCCCCTGTCCCTTGACCTTAGGTAGAAAATAAATTTTTGATTGATCCAGGATCAAATCCTTAAATCAAAAACCATTTGACATCTTCTTCATCTTAGTCCACCTGTATCTTCCAGGTGATGACACAATAATGAACTACTTTATGCCATAACTGTTATGTACCCAACAATAGTTCTTTAGTACTCATGCTACAAGCAGCCGTCAAGATAAAATGGAGCTAGGGGCCTTCAGTGGACATTGACATACAGAAAGTTGCCTTATACAAAGCAGATCATTAGCTTTTCTAGCACAGTAGTGGTGTTGCAATAGGCATCAGATCTGTAGTGTTTCAGACAAAGATCTTTTCTTCACCCTATTTTGGAGGTGCCAGAAATTGAACTGGGAAATTCCTTCATGACAACCATG